GTCTTGTAGTTTCTTTAACTAATCTACACAATATGTGCAAATGTTACCAAAGGTATCCTGAATTCTTGATGAGTAGGTATTAAATTTAAAAAAATATATATTTAATAAAGTGTAAATTATAAATTATGAAAAAATATATATTGCATAAAGAAAAAAAAATTCAGAGAAATCAGTGTCGTATGCATTGTAGAATTGCTATTTGGGCTCTTCTATTTTTTTTGGTCCGAAAAGTAATTTTTCATAGTTAGGAAATATTAGAATGTAGATTAGTATCATTTTCCTTTAGTGTACAAATATTCTTATTTACACAATAAAAAAAAAATTGTTACCAAATTTATTTTTTTCTCACCAGTCATTAAACAAGAATTCTGGAGGATTCTACCCAAACGCCTGACGATCTAAGAGATTAGATGAGAAGGTCCCTATTTATTAAAGAAAATATCTTATTATCCTTCCCTCCTAGAAGACCATTTTTCTTAAAACTTCAAAAAATAGTATGAAGTTCAGCGAAATAACCTTTTCATTTCCATTGAATTCTTAATTAGGCATTGGCAATTCAATTCCCATTTACCCCTTACGAAAGCGAATACTTTTTCTCGCTCCACTATTTCAGAAACAGAATCCCAAACGATTCTGTTCGTGAAAGGCCAAACGAGAGATGAGCTGATGCCACCGAATCCTGTCGTAATGATGGATGGCACGTGAGCGATCCACTTAATTTATCGGTTACCCCTGGCGACCCCAGCGATAATAAATGATGGGACTTGTTTCGGTAAATGCAAAAGGCAGGAAGTGAGCCACCAAGGTGACTTTCGGTCCATTTATTAATTAGTCTTTGTCTTCATGCCGCAGGGGATTGTGGGAAGGTGCTGCGTCATCAGTCGCCAAATGATTGGTCCATTTCCGTATCCGAATCGTGGTTTGAGGAAACTAAAGAAGTATTCAAAAAATTAAGCAAAATTTGAGAAAATTAAAGAAATCCTTAAAGTTGAGTAAAATTTGAGGAAATTAAAGAAGTAGTCAAAAATTGAGTAAAATTTGAAAAAAGTTAAGAGTTATTCAGAGATTGAGTACAATTTTGGAAATTAAAAAGTACTCAAAAATTGAGTAAAATTTGAGAAATTTAAAGAGTTACTCAAAAATTTAGTAAAATTTGAGGAAATTAAAGAAGTAAAAAATTGGACGAAATTTGAGAAAATTAAAAAGTTAACGAAAATTGAGTAAGTACTCAATTTTTGTATGGAAAAATTCAATTGAGTATTCTTAAAATTTGAAAAAATTAAGGATGCACTCAAAAATTGAGTAAAATTTGAGAAAGTTATTCAAAAATTGAATAAAAATTGAGAAAATTAAAGGAATACTCAAAAATTGAGTAGAAATTTAAAAAAGTATACAAAATTTGAGAAATTAAAGAAAAAACTCGAAAAATTGAACAAAATTTGGGAAAATTAAAGAAGTGCTCGAAAATTGAATAAAATTTGAGAAAATTAAAGAAGTGTTCAAAAATTGACTAAAAATTGAAAAAAAATTAAAGAATTTCTCAAATATTGAGGAAATACACAAAAACTAAAATGTGAGAAATTAATGTACTCAAAAATTGAATAAAATTTGAGAAAATTAAAGAAGTTTTCAAAAATTGAATAAAATTTGAGAAAATTAAAGAAGTTTTCAAAAATTGAATAAAATTTGAGAAAATTAAAGCGGTACTCAAAAGAGTAAAATTTGGGAAATTAAAGAAGTACTCAACTATTGAGTAAAATTTGAGAAAATTAAAGTACTAAAAAAATTAGTAAAATCTGAGAAAAATCTGAGAAAATCTGAGAGTACTCAAAAAAAGTGAATAAAATTTGGGAAAATTAAAAAAGTAATCAAAAATTGAGTAAAATTTGAGAAAATTAAAGAGGTACTCAAAAAGTGAGTAAAATTTGAAAAATTAAAGAAGTACTTTAAAGTCGAGTAAAATTTGGGAAATTAAAGAAGTACTCAACTAGTGAGTAAAATTTGAGAAAATTAAAAAAAATTTCAAAAATTGAGTAAAATTTGAAAAAAATTAAAGAAATATCCTGAAATTGAATAAAATATGATAAATTAAAGAAGTACTCAAAAAATTGAATGGAATTTGAAAAAAATTGAAGAATTACACAAAAATTGAAGGAAATTTGAGAAAATTAAAGTACTCAAAAATTGGGTCAAATCTGTAAAATTAATGAAGTATTCAAAAAAAGTGAATAAAATTTGTGAAAATTAAAGAAGTATTCAAGAATTGAGAAAAATTTGAGAAAGTTAAAGAGGTATTCAAAAATGTATTAATATTAGAGAAAATTAAAGAAGTACTCAAAAACTGATTAAAAATTTCAGAAAATTACAAAATTACACAAAAATTGAGGAAAATTTGGAAAATTAAAGAAGTACTAAAAAAATTTGAAAAATTAAAGAAGCACTAAAAAAAAATATTATTATATATATATATATATATATATATATATAAAATTGAATAAAATTTCAGAAATCTAAAGTAGTACAATGAATAAAAATTGAGAAAATTACTGAAAAAATTGAGTAAAATTTGAAAAAAATTACACAAGTTTCAAAAGGATAGAAAATGTTAAAAATGAATAGTTTAAATCAAATGCCATTATTTTCTAAATTTCTTATGATGTTATGTAATTTTAAAATAATAGTAATTATTAAAAATTAAAACTGATCTGAAAATATCTTTTACCCCTATTCGGCCGCTGTGTTTTAATCTATCCGACTCAGTCGCTTGCCACTTTACTGCAAATTTAGGGGGCGGGGGGCTGAATTTTAAGTATTCTCGAGTGAACAGACGGATTGCTCATTGGATCTCCGAATTAGGGCAGCTGAGTTCGAAACCAGAAAAACAAAACCTAACCAAATGTCTATGCTGGGGATGGGTTGGAAGCTGCGATGTTCCTCAGATGGCATAAATGGTAATATACTTTAAAAATTGTGTAGGTAAAATGGGGGTGTGCTGTATCTTTCTTGCCTCCCCCCCCCTCCGCATTTTGTTGTACCCCGAGTAAAGCTTATTATGCATAAATGCTCCAATCCAATTATCTATACTGGCAAATTGTTAAATTCAGCTGGATTCAAGCACAGCGGTGTAATAGGAAAGAAAGCTAATTTCAGCAAATTATAATTACAAAAAGCTTAAATTTTTAAATTGCACAATATAAGAAAAAGATGAAAAAAAGAATATCCACAATAACTATAAAACATTTCTTTTTTCAAAAAAAAAAAAAAAAAACCATTCAACCTCAGCTTAGTTTTTTAAATATAAAATTTATTGTACAAATTAAATGACGCATGCACGATATTTACAAAAAAAAAAGATTGTATAAAATAAAACATAAGACTATGTAATAAATCACAAGACAAAAATATTAGCAGCATTCTCCTCTACATGGAGCTATGGTACGCCCGCCACATACTAACGGAAATATGTGTGTCACTTTCTCTTGCACCTCACACAAACTTAGATGCTCTCCATAGGTTCTACGGGGAGGGGAACCGGTCTAACAACAAGGGGCCTGATGACAGCTGTTGTTCGGCAACAAAAACCCGCTAGAAACCTCTATAGGCGTTTCTGCAATAACTCATTTCTAGACTTTTCGCCTCCGCATGTTAGAGCTTCGTCAATCATTGCAAGACAAAGGGACACTAGACGTGTGGAATGACGAAAACTCCCAGGACACTTCAAGGACTGCAGCAGCACTGATGATGATGATAAGGATGTTATTTTTATTCATGATAGTCATACATAAATAATAACAATCTATACATCATGAAATTGATTACCATTAATTCCACACGCACACAAGAGAAAATACACACAAGAGAAAATAGTTTAAACCATCAGTGATTGGATATGTTAAATATTGCTTCATTCGGAAAGTTCGATAGAAATTTCATTACCTTGTTATAAATAAAGTCAATTTATGCATTTTCACCTTTAGACATTTTTGGGCCTGAATGGCAGAGTGGCTAGCGCTCTGGCGCTCGGTACCACAGGTTTCAGGTTCGAGTCCCGGCGGTGCCATGGTTGTTTGTAGTGGTTCGGAATCCACTTTAAAAAGTAGGTCCCGGTCTAATAAGATCGTAGAGCGTTGCGGGGGCATTGTTACTCCGCGTCCGTGGCTTATCTTCAAGTGACACGCGCCCCCTGGGTAATGCAAAGTGAGTACGTCTGTGCAGCACTTGCCTTAAGGCATCCAACACCAAGGTGTCTGTGTTTGCCAGCTGCATTAGAAAAAAAAAAGACCTTTAGACATTTCAACTTTAATTTTAAGGCTACATTTATATGTTAGAAACAGCTCATAATAAAAATTAGTTATTTTTAACAAACGGGCATTAAATTTAAAACTACACTTTTCGTTTAGTCTGCAAACATAATTTAACATAAACTTAATACAATAAAGCTTAATTCTCCAGTCACTTTATCTCAGACTCTGAATTTGATATGAGAAGTTGAAACTTCTTTTTGAAAAGCCTGCTAAAACATTTGAGAAACTAATGTTGGAAGAACGTTAATGTTGCAGTTTTAATCCCTTTTCATTAAAGTAATTACTTCAACGACTCATAAAGAATTGAAACTGGTACTTTATAAAGTTGTAGAAGGCCGCCCTAAAATGCTATTAAATTTTATGAAAATACGAAGAATGTGTATGTGTCTCAATTCCTGGAAGAAATGTGAAATCTTTTTTCTAGGGAAATTATGCATGGAATATAGTTTCTGGAAAATAATGTTTATCTTTGTATGTTCATTTTTGGAGATTTTATTTTGATCTGGGACGTTTCATTTTAGTTTTCATGTTTTTGTTTTCTTTTTAAATATTGATGATTATGAAATATCAGTGTTAATAGTTCTTTTTTTGCCTCTGAATATGGTATATAATTATAAATAATATTATCTTGGGATATCAAATATATTTGTCTAGACTTTATTCTAACATTAATGTAAGTTACTTTGGAGCAGGGCCAACGGCCATACCATGCTGTATATACCGGTTCTCGTTAGATCACCGAAGTCAAGCATCATTGGGCGCCGTCAGTTTGTTGGGAGGGGGAGCACCTGGGAACACTGCTTGCCGTTGGCATTCACAAATTTGGGACCTGAATGGCCGAGTGTCTAGCGCTCTGGCTCTCGGTGCCACAGGTTTCGGGTTCGAATCTCGGCGGTGCCATGGATGTTTGTAGTGGTTCGGAATCCACTTTAAGCCGTAGGTCCCGGTCTTCTATGACTGTAAGAGCGTCACGGAGCCAAAAGTCAGACTTCTACCTACGGGTGTTCCATCACAACAGAAGCTGCTTCCTTCTATTAACACTGATATATCATAATCATGAATATTTAAAAAGAAAACAAAAACATGAAAACTAAACTGAAACGTCCCAGATCAAATTAAAATCTCCAAAAATGAACCTTCCCCTTCAATAATGAGTACGTATGGGCTCGTGGGCTTGGCCAGCCAAGTGGGATAACAAACAACAAACAAACTTTGGAGCAAAATAAGTGTTATCTAAATGGCAAAAGAAGAGCTACAATAAAAAGCAAGATGATCATTTTCGGAAGGCTTGAGTGAGTTATTGATAATTTAAAACAAGATTAGATTTATCAGGCACTAAAATAAGCAAATGAGATATATTTAATAAAGATGTAAAAAATTAAATTATATTTTATAATCATGTTATTACGTCAGTTAAATTAATTGCCGCGCTTTTCATGCCGTATTTTATTGGTTGCTGCGGTAATTCATTATGGCACGCATTTCATGTAGTATTTTTGGTTGTCGCAGTATTTCATTATGCCGCTCATTTCATGAAATATTTTATTGACTGTCGCGATATTTCTTTATATCGCCCATTTTATGCAGTATTTCATTAAGCCGCTTATTTCGTGTCTTTAATTGGTTGTCGCGATATTTCATTATGACACTCATTTCATGCAGTATTTTATTGGTTGCCACAGTATTTCAGTATGCCAGCATTTCATGCAGTATTTTATATGTGTCCGCTGTATTTCCGTATGTCGTGCATTTCAAGCAGTATTTCATTGGATGTCAATTGTTTTTCACTATGTCGTGCATTTCAAGCAGTATTTCATTAGATGTCAATTGTTTTTCACTATGCCGTGCATTTCAAGCAGTATTTCATTGGGTGTCAATGGTTTTTCATTGTACCGTGCATTTCATACAATATTTCCTTATGCCGCTCGTCTCATGAAGTATTTAATTGGTTGTCGCGATATTTCATCATGCCACGAATTTCGTGCAGTATTTTATTAGTTGTCGCTGTATTTCATTATGCAAGCATTTGATGTATTTTATTGGTTGCCTTGGTATTTCATTATGCCGCTTATTTCATGTAGTATTTTATTGGATGTCAATAGTTTTTCATTATGCCGCGCACTTTATGGAGTATTTCATTATGCAGCGCATTTCATGCAGTGTTTTATTGGTTGCAGCGGTATTTAATTATGCCACAAACACTCCAGAGCCAAAACATTATGACCACCCCTACATTTTGCAATGAACTCGCCTGGATGACGTGGAAAGCACGTGATCAGGTGGAAGTGGTATTTAACTGCTGCTGGAGAGTCTGAAGAATAATTCGATTCCCGTTTGGGTAGTGAATACGAGCAGACGTGTTTTACCCGTCTGCGTTTTTCTCTACTTTTTTTGGAATGAGCGAAATGGAAGTTTCAACTGAGGGGAATGGTCCTTCTAAGGACCTTTCGGAAGTACCCTCTCCACCTGCAGGTGCCAGTAATGATGCAAACACGGCCGAAAAAGTCTCCCCTGTGGGAATGTGCCGGCAACTGAGTACTGCGTTTAAAGAAATGGATGTCATCGTGTTGTGGCGAACTCGAAAAGGTCGGATCTCCAGCAAGATTATGTCCAGCTGACTGAGACTCTGTTACAGAAGCGGAAGTTCCTGGAGGAGTGGGTGAGTCGCTTTCGCTGTCCTATTGAGAATTGCAATTTGCACAATAGCTCTAAATTAATTGTAAATAATAGTAATGGTAAAAATGTGAATGCTGTAAATGTTTGTAATGTTAATAGTACTGTTACTTGTAATAATAGTAATGGTAAATGTGAATGCTGTAAATGTTTGTAATTTTAATAGTACTGTTACTTGTAATAATAGTAAAAATGTAAATTCTGCTAATGCTAATAACTCTAGTAAAGTAAATGTTTCTGTAAAACCTAAGACTAAGCGAAATGCTAGTCAGTTAAGTGTAAATGTTAATGACTCAGCGGAGTTTCGCACTCCAAACAAAAAACTAATTGCCAAAGCAAATTATACTGTACATAAGGCGCAAGCAAGTGAGAATCTCGTAACAAACAATCATTTCCAAGCACTTAGCACTGACGCAGTAACCGGAGATGATACTGTTACAGTCGTACGCAAAATGCCGCCAATAATGGTTAAGCCGCAAGGCAACCTAAATGATATGCTGAAAGTGATTGACGATCATCTCCAAGGTGACGTCTTCATAAAGCTAGCTGGTGAAATGCTGAAGATCTTCCCCAACACGGAAGACCAGCACAGAGAGATCACAAAATTTCTGAACAAAAGCGGCATTGAATTTTTTGTAATCACTCCGAAATTCCTTAGGCCCTTAAAGGCTGTAATCAAAGGTCTTCACCGTGATACTAATCCGGAAGATATCAAAGCTGCCCTGGCTGACAAGGGCTTTCTCGCTGAAAAGGTAGTTCAACTTACCAGGACAAGAGATAAACAGCCACTTCCTATATTTCAAGTTACTCTATCAAGATCCAATAAGAACCAGGATATCTATAAGTTAAATCGTTTGATGTACTTAGCAGTTGTAGTGGAACGATATAATAAAAAACCTATCACGCTGCAGTGTTTTAAATGCAATTATTTCCATCATAGTTCGAACAATTGCGGCTTCAAGGCCCGTTGCCTGAAATGTGGGGAAGAGCATTCCCATAAGGAATGCAAAATTTATGACAAATTGGAGATACCGCAGTGTATCAACTGTGGGCAATCCGGCCATACTGAAGCTTGGAGAGGCTGTGCTAAATTTCCAAAGATTAAGATCAACACCACTAAGTACGCAACCTTTCCTAAATACACTCCTGCTCGACAGGTTACTCAAAATTTCTCCTATGCTGCTGCTGCTAAAAATATGTCACCACCTCAACAATCTAATACAGGTAATGTTAGTAATAACAGCAATGAATTAACTTCAAATCAACTGAGCCAATTGCAGGGCATTGCTAGCCAAGCCCAATTTATTCAAAAAACCCTGCTTCTTATGAAGGAATTTGTATCTATTTTTTCGGATCTTAAAGATTTGGATGGTATTCTCCACCAAGTAAGAAGCACAGATAATAAAGCTGACAAGTTGCAGGTCTTTGTTAATGGCCTAGCTTCCCAAACTACCCAAAATGCCCCGTAATGACTCAGTTGATTTCTGGTCTTCGCATATGCGATTGGAATGCTTGTAACATATGGTATAAAATGATTGAATTCACTAACTTTGTTGATAACTATAACCCAGATATAGTACTGCTTCAGGAAACACACCTTAGGCACTCCCAGATACCTTACTTAATGGGGTACACTTTTTATAGAAACGATGGACCTCAAGATCCACTCTCTGGGGGCACGGGTATTTTTATCAAAGACTCTCTGCCACATAGCTATATAGCTACTCCGCAGTTAATTGGGATAAAAGCCACCATTATTTCTCTAAATTTTCCTAATCTCCCCTCTCTTTTTATTAACTCTGTCTATGTTCCTAATGCAATAGCTATTCCTAATCTTACTAATGACTTAGATGTTTTGTTTTCTTTGAATAATAGTGTTATACTCGCGGGGGACTTTAATGCGCATAATACTGCTTGGGGTTGTACTAACAAAAATCACACTGGCGTTGCTTTGCAAAGATATGCTAATAACCTTAACTTAGATATTATTGCTCCTAACACTCCTACTAGAGTTGGAACTCACTCTACCTCTATTATAGATTTAGTAGTCACTAACAACTTTCATTTTAATAATACCATTAATTCGCTTGACGAACTTTCTTCTGATCATAACCCAGTAATTATTGATTTTAACTTCCGCGCTGTGCATGTTATGACTAACCCGCATGTTACTACCTGCTGGTCTAAATTTTCTAGTATCCTCGACCGTAACTTTAATTACTCTTTTACGCCATTAAATTATCCGGTTGATATTGAGGAAGCCATTAAGGAGTTAACTAATAAAATCATTACTGCGCATCAAGCTGCCTCTAAGCCTATTCCTACTAACAACCAAACCTACTTACCTCCTTCTATTAAAACTCTGATAACTAATCGGAACAACGCGCGTAAATTATGGCAAATATATCGCGATCCTCGCAGCAAAAATGTTTACAATCATCATCAGAACATACTTAAAAGGGCAATTGCAAAATACAAGAATGATTGCTGGGACAGGCGCCTTGAAACGGCAAATGTTGAGAATGGTTCGATTTGGAAGCTTTGCAGCAACCTTCGTAAGAAAAGAACCAAAATAAGTTCACTACAGAATAATAATGACGTAGTTACTACCGACAATCAAAAAGCTGAAATTCTGGCAACTTCGCTGCAGGATCAATTTCAAGAAAATCCGTCCAACAATGTACAGGTTGATAATGATGTTGAAAGCACCATCGCGTCTTTTCTAACTCGGCATAATAGTACTAACAGTAACTTTCCTTCCACTAAAGCCTCAACGGTGATTAATATTATTTCTAACCTTAAAATTAGCAAGACGCCTGGTATAGACCGCATTACTAACAAGATGCTTAAAAATATTCCATTCAAATGCATTCTACAAATCTGCAATATCACGGATGCCATCTTAACTTTTAATTACTTTCCCAAAACCTGGAAAACTGCTAGGATACTTCCAATTTTAAAGCCGGGCAAAGATCCTACTTCACCTACCAATTATTGACCGATTTCACTCCTATCAACTTTTAGCAAAATCACTGAGCGTGTTCTAGCAGATCTGCTTAA